GGGGGGAAATTTAGAGGGGGGGGGGGGGTGCCTAAGTTTCGTCTTGCCTAGGGCAGCACAAAACCTAAACACACCGCTGGGTACCACAACATGACAACTTCTCCATGAATATCCAGCCATTAGGCCCGGTGATCATTCCTGGGACCTCCCAATCTCTTCCCAGGATACAATGTAACAAAACATTTCGCTGGAAGAGTAACATGAGATCACATGACGATGACTCTCCGGTAGCCTTGGTAACAAAGTTTCCTCCCAGGAGGAGAGAGGGAGGGGTTATGTTTTTGGTGATTACCGGAGATGAAAACATGAGGAGAGGTGAGCTGAGGTGGGAGGAGGCGGAGCCTTCCAGGTGATGTGGTTACTGGGCACCAATTATTGGCACAAGGATCAATTTCTAAATAAATAGCTGACCGAGGACACGAAAATAGAGAAACCCAAAATCTCCTCATCCAGCGAATCCCATCGATGGGCTCGGGAATCTCGGACACAACGACGACATTTTTAATTTAAATAAGTTTCTTCTATAAAATAAATATAAGACTTCTTTGATTTGGATGGAGTGGGGGGTTTCCTCTGTGTCCCGTTGAGTTGTCCTCCCACTTCCTGTGTTATAGACATGCCAGGAAGTGAGACATTCCCGCCATGTTCGGTTCCGGTGACAACGGTCACGGAGACAGAGAATCTCCCCCCCGTGGTGACACGGTCAGTAATGAAAACCTGGCAGAGAGTCTAACCCCTCCTCACTATACCCCAAACTAAAGAAAAACATTTGGATACATTTCCTGTTTTCTTTCTGTAAAAAAAAATGAATAATGAGGCTGATGAGGGTCTGATTATTGGCTACATGTCCTCTCCCCCCTTCGCCCGTGCTACATGTCCTCTTCACCCCCGCTACACGTCCTCTCCCCCCTTCGCCCCCGCTAACCCCCGCTACACGTCCTCTCCCCCTTCGCCCCCGCTACACGTCCTCTCCCCCTTCGCCCCCGCTACACGTCCTCTCCCCCTTCGCCCCCGCTACACGTCCTCTCCCCCTTCGCCCCCGCTACACGTCCTCTCCCCCTTCGCCCCCGCTACACGTCCTCTCCCCCTTCGCCCCCGCTACACGTCCTCTCCCCCTTCGCCCCCGCTACACGTCCTCTCCCCCTTCGCCCCCGCTACACGTCCTCTCCCCCTTCGCCCCCGCTACACGTCCTCTCCCCCTTCGCCCCCGCTACACGTCCTCTCCCCCTTCGCCCCCGCTACACGTCCTCTCCCCCTTCGCCCCCGCTACACGTCCTCTCCCCCTTCGCCCCCGCTACACGTCCTCTCCCCCTTCGCCCCCGCTACACGTCCTCTCCCCCTTCGCCCCCGCTACACGTCCTCTCCCCCTTCGCCCCCGCTACACGTCCTCTCCCCCTTCGCCCCCGCTACACGTCCTCTCCCCCTTCGCCCCCGCTACACGTCCTCTCCCCCTTCGCCCCCGCTACACGTCCTCTCCCCCTTCGCCCCCGCTACACGTCCTCTCCCCCTTCGCCCCCGCTACACGTCCTCTCCCCCTTCGCCCCCGCTACACGTCCTCTCCCCCTTCGCCCCCGCTACACGTCCTCTCCCCCTTCGCCCCCGCTACACGTCCTCTCCCCCTTCGCCCCCGCTACACGTCCTCTCCCCCTTCGCCCCCGCTACACGTCCTCTCCCCCTTCGCCCCCGCTACACGTCCTCTCCCCCTTCGCCCCCGCTACACGTCCTCTCCCCCTTCGCCCCCGCTACACGTCCTCTCCCCCTTCGCCCCCGCTACACGTCCTCTCCCCCTTCGCCCCCGCTACACGTCCTCTCCCCCTTCGCCCCCGCTACACGTCCTCTCCCCCTTCGCCCCCGCTACACGTCCTCTCCCCCTTCGCCCCCGCTACACGTCCTCTCCCCCTTCGCCCCCGCTACACGTCCTCTCCCCCTTCGCCCCCGCTACACGTCCTCTCCCCCTTCGCCCCCGCTACACGTCCTCTCCCCCTTCGCCCCCGCTACACGTCCTCTCCCCCTTCGCCCCCGCTACACGTCCTCTCCCCCTTCGCCCCCGCTACACGTCCTCTCCCCCTTCGCCCCCGCTACACGTCCTCTCCCCCTTCGCCCCCGCTACACGTCCTACCCCTTCACCTGTCCTTCTGTCAGAGGTGCCTGTGATTGGTGGATCTACTTTCGGATGCTCCCTAGCCTGTCCCACCCATGCAATTCCTTACCGGCTATGTGGGCGGAGAATTGACAGCTGTATAGTCTCCGCCCACAGTCCTGACTACAAGAATCATGGGAAATGTAGTTCTGCGAAGCGTGCTCAGATTGGGGGTGACTTACGGCACCTCAAAGACCCATCCCCCAGGCTGCGCTGCCAGTCATTGGCGAAAGGAAGCTCAGCGACTTCAAATAAAAACTCAGAATTATCCTCTTTGAAACTCCGGCAATGCTCCCCTAGCATCCGGCACTACAAGTCCCAGGAGGCATTGCAAGACTGGCAGGAACAGGCATGACCCACATAGGGGTGATGGGAATTGTAGTTCCACCACAGCTGATGAGATTGCCAACCCCCCGTCCTTGCCTACCCCCTCCGGCCTCCCCTACAGTCTTCTATCTGACCTCCGTCCT